GACATTATCTTCATACACCATAGGTATCCACCAGAAAATAAATTGATTTATATAACTGATCATGTTAGATACATAAAGATTTATAGTAACAAAAATAAAGTTAGAAAAAAAAAAACCCTTAAGGTTTCTTCAACAAAGATGAAAAGTTATTCTGTATTTCAGTGTAATAGTAGACCCTAATTCTATAGCAGTTAAGTCCCAACAAATTCTTTTAGTAGTTTTAAGAAAACAATTAGAAAGAAAAACACTATACAACTCTCTTTAAATGGCAAGTCAGCATTAAGTAGTGGCCTTGAGACTGATATTTAGATTTGTGATTTTCTCTATATTTCCATATTTGAAATTTCATCCTAAATATGGAAGAAAGTTATAACAACTACTATTCAGTCGTAAGAGAGTTTAATGCGATTGCATGAACAATAGAAGATATCAAACAATCAGAACCGTCCATTTCATACTGAAGATTTAAAATCCAATCATCACCGTCCATTTTTTTCCATTTCATATAGTTCTTCCTTACTTGGTCACAACTTCCAACCACATCACAATCTTTCTATTCCTCTATATATTATTTACTTTCTCAAAACTTCTTGGAGAGACAACATACCAAAACATAAACGCCAATCACAACTTTTCGCAATGTTTTCTATGGGGAAAAAGCGGTTTAGTGTTGGTGTGGCGCTTACATTCTTAGCCTTGGTTCATGTCTCTTTCTCAGTTCCGTTCATAGTACTTCATGGAATTCTAGCTGACTGTTCTTATGATAGTAATGGTAACTTCGCAGAGCTTCTCCGTAACCTCTCTGGCTCTCCTGGCTCTTGCGTGTAAGTAAATCGAAAGACACATACCGAAATCTAGACTAATCATCGTGACATTTTCAAATGTTGTATATTTTTTCTATTTAAGACGTCTTCTATGATGATATATATTTTTGGTCTCTTGTTGAATCCAGAGAAGTTGGAAATGGAATGTGTGATTCATGGGTCATGCCACTTACGAAACAAGTAGAAATCGTTTGTGAGAAAGTGAAGCAAATGGAAGAGTTACGTCAAGGATACAACATTGTTGGAAGATCTCAGGTTTTCTTGATACTTTATTGAAAGCGGTTTTCGATCTTTACTCGTTTTAAACTCTCATGGATGATGGAACAGGGGAACCTCGTAGCTCGAGGGTTGATCGAATTCTGCGATGATGGGCCTCCCGTTTACAACTACATATCTTTAGCAGGTCCTCATGCTGGAATTTACTCTATTCCTTGGTGTACTGTAAGCATTTTTTTTTTTATCTCTAAAAAATCTTTTTTCATATGTTCATTTTAACCAATCAATTAGTAACTTTTTTTTTTTGGGGTAAAGTATGGTGAATGGTGTAATGCTGTAAATAAACTGATCCAGAAAGATCTCTATACCGACTTTGTTCAAGTATTTATCTCTACATCTCTCTCTGTGTACATCATGATTTAACTCCTTATAATCAAGGATTAATTTAACATCTTTAATGACTTTGCAGGATCATCTAGCTCCTAGTGGTTATTATAAAATCACTTCAGTATGTTTTACTCCTC